CCCATAGAGTGTCGGAATGCCGGGAAGGCCCCCAGGCGTCTGTTGAGGGTTGAGCCAGGCTTTCCCGCTCAGCTACTTGGGAGACTGAGGCAGAAGGATCGCCTGAGTCCAGGAGGTGGAGGCAGTGATGAGCCGGGATGATGGAGTGACATCCTCAAAAAAGAAAAAAAATTCAAGATACCAGGCTGTCGTCTTTTGGGACAGCAGGCCCCGATCCCTGTTTCGGCTGCAAGGCTGGAGGCCCCGTACGAGACAAACTTGGCCCTGGTGGAGACCACTGCTTCACAGGCCCTAAGACACGGATTTGGGGAACCCACGACAGGCTTCCTCGGAGGCTGGAGGGGAATTTTCTCCGGAGAGCCCCCAGATCCAGTGTTTGGATGATTAAATGAGGGGAAATGCTTTTACACCAAGTCGTCTTGGACGGAGCTCTGAGGGGCGGAACACCAGTGAACCAGAATGTTGGCCGAGCCTTCCAAAGCCTCGATGTAAAAAATAAGGGGAAAAGCCAAACCACAAGTCAGCTCCTGTCCCCCGCCATGGGGAGCGGAGTCCGCGGGGGCATGGGGCCACACGGCTCTGGAGACGAGGAAACTGAAGCCCAGAGAGGCAGACACCCCACAGAGAGGGGCCTGCTCCCGGCCACCCCCCCCCCCACAGTTCTTTAAATAGTCCCCTGAAGTCCGAATGGGTCGTCCCAGGACATGCTGAGGAGAGTCCACATATTCCAACGGGGTAGTGGGAAGGGAATTTCTTTTTTCTCTTCCTTTATGTTATTGTAAAGATGTGGGGTACAATTCAGGATCTGGTACTCAAGCGGTCTACGTGCAGGCGAGGTTTGGGCCTCCCACAGGTCCTCACGTCCCCTGGTTTAGGATGAGACACCCTTAGTGATGTCGTGTGTCCCCTCCCTCCCTCCCCTGGCAGCGTCCTGTGACTGCTGATCCCCGTCTTGTAGCACTGTGACGAATGTTCAGGGCCCACTTATGAGTGAGAACACGCGGCACTCAGTTGTTTCTGGGATAAGTCACTGAGTTTGGTGGACTTATCTAAATCCATCCAAGTTGCTGCAAAGCCCATAATTTTGTTTTTCTTTATGGCTGCATAATATTCCATCATGTACATGTGCCACATTTTTTTTTTTATCCAGTCCAGTTTCGATGGGCAGCACGGTTGGGTCCGTGTTTTCCCGTTGTGAACAGTGCTGCAATAAACACACGTGTGCCGGTGTCTTTTCTGTAGAAGGATCTGACTTCCTCCAGGTGTAGTCCCAGGAGGGGATTTGCTGGGTCGTATGAAAGGTTAATTTCTGGTTCTTTTAAAAACCGCCACACCGTTTTCCATAGAGGTTGGACTAGTTTGCACTAGTGTAGAAGCGTTTTTCTTTTCTCCGCATCCTCACCAGCATCTGTTGTTTTGTTATTTATTAATGATAGCCATTCTTTCTGGATTAAGGTGGTATCTCAGTGTGGTTTTGACTCGCATTTCTCTGATGAGGCATGAAGGCTGAGCACTTTTTCATGTGTCTGTTGGCTGCTCGTATGTCTTCTTTTGAGAAGTGTCTGTTCATGTCTTTTGCCCACTTTTGAATGGGGCTTTTTTTTTCCTTTTCAGCTCATTTGAGCTCCTTGTAAATCCCAGATGGGAAGGGAATTTCAATGAAGGGTCTCTAGACAGCCTGCAGACAGTACTTAACAATGCTCCAGGAGTGGGCTGCACCTTGGGTGTCCAGGGCTGGCCCAGCAGGGCCTTAGCCCCCTCCCTGCCTCTCTCCCTCAAGGTCGGGACCCCGGGCTCAGCCAGTCCCAGAGGCTCTCATGGGAGAAGCCAATGCCCCATCCTCACGCCCCTCCCCAGCACCTGGTGGGACCCCCACTGGTCAAACCCAAAGGGAAGCCCAGGGTGCAGCTCCCGTGGGGGAATTCTGAAGGGGATCAGAGAGGAAAAGCCAGGAGGTAACCCAGAGCAGGGCATAGCGGCTCCCACAGGGCATAGCATGACCCTAACCTGGGCATGCCTCCAAAGCAGAAAGAAACAGCCAGAGTGGGCTTCAGACGCCCGGCTCTCCCTGGTCTTCAGCCTGCCTGCTCTCTGGATGTCACAGAAGGCTGAGAGGGACACCCCAGCTTCCCCCGGTCCTCAGTCCACTTGCTTTCTGGACACCACAGAAGGCTAAGAGGGACACCCGGGCTCTCCTGGGTCCTCAACCCACCTTCTCTCCAGATGTCACAGAAGGCTGAGAGGGACACACCCTCAACTTTGTTTTGAAAATGACAGCCGTGTTGTCGGGCGTGGTGGCTCGAGCCGGTAATCCCAGCACTTTGGGAGGCTGAGGTGAGAGGATTGGCCGAGTCCAGGGATTCAAGACCCACCTGGGCAACTTGGCAAGACCTCATCTCTACAATAAATTAAAAAATTAGCCGGGCGTGGTAGCGTGCACCTGTAGTCCCAGCTACTTGGATGACTGAGACGGATAGATTGCCTGAGCCCAGCACTCCAGTCTGGGCCACAAAGACTCCAACTCAAAAAAAAAAAAAAAAGAGAGGGGGGTTTACAGCCATTAGCAAGCCATTAGCATCCAGCTGGGCTGCTGTGGCCAGATCTAGAGACCACAGACCCACATGGGAGAGCAGGAAGAAACACAGACGCCTCCCCAGGACCTGCACTGTCTGTGCGGCTGTGACCGTTCTGTGGAAACGTCCTGTCACCTCCACAGGGAGGCTGAGGTCCCTCAACCGGATAGCTCAGTAGAGCGCGAGCCCTGCAGGACAGGAGGCCTGTCTCCACCTTCCCTCTGAGTCTCCAGCAAGTGATGGACACACGATCCTTTTTAAAACGTTTTTACAGATGTCGCCTCAAGCCCGTGGCCTCTGGCCCTGAAGAATGTGCTGTCCCTGAGCCTAGGCGGGCCTCTCAGGAGGGCAAGCGGCTGAGTCCCTCTTCCCGTCCTCAGCCTCCCAGCTAGCTCCTGACCCCTGCCTGCCTAGACCGGGCAAATCCCCGGCACTCCCTTGTCCTTCATTTCCTGTTTACCGACCCAGCCTCTCCTCGCTTGATGTGTTCCAATCTCCTGGATGGTCTGTGGCCCGATCACCTCCCGCAACCGAGTCGGAATCCGGAAAGCCGGGCTTCTGGAAGCCCAGGTGCCTGATGTGTGTGGACACCTGCAGAAGAGAGCTGGCTGAAGGCCAGGTGGGGTAGCTCTGTGGCTGCACGCATGCACACACACGCACACACACGTGCAAACACTGCAGCTTTCCACACTCTTTCTAGAGTACGGGATCGCTTGGGTCCTGGAGAGAGGGCGAACTCTGGAATAAAAGGAGGGGGAGCCGGGCAGGGGGGTTCACGCCTGTCACCCCAGCACTTTGGGAGGTCGAGGCATGAAGATTGCTGAGCCCACGGATTCGAGACCAGCCTGGGCAACATGGCGAGACCTTGTCTCTACAATAAATCAAAAATAATTAGCCAGGCGCAGTGGCACATGCCTGTCATCCCAGAGCTTTGGGAGGCCAAGGTGAGAGGGCTGTCTGAGCCCAGGGGTTCAGGACCAGCCTGGGCAACATGACAAGACCTCATCTCTACAAGAAATTAAAAAATTAAGCCGGGCTCGGTGGCTCAGCCTGTAATCCCACGCCTTTGGGAGGCTGAGGTGAGTGGATGGCCTGAGCCCGCGGGTTCGAGACCCACCTGGGCAGCGAGACCTCATCTCTACAATAAGTCAAAAAATCAGCCGGGCGTGGTAGCGTGCGCCTGTAATTCCGACTACTCGGAAGGCTGAGGAGGTGGAAGGATCGCCGGAGTCCAGCAGGTGGAGGCTGCGGTGGCCGGGAGCGGCCATTGTGCTCCAGCCTGGGAGACAGAGTGAGACTCTGACTCAAAAAAAGAAAAAAAGGAGGGGGGTTTGAGCCCCAGCGTCAGGTCTTCCCAACCTTGGGGTTGAGTCGGGTCATCCCACTTGCCTGTACCCCGTTTTCTGCTCGAGGCAAGCAGACGCCCAATACCTTCTCCCTGGATGGGAGTGAAAGGGAGACAGACTTGAGGAGGGACACAGACAGGCATTGCCCAGGGAGGCCTTCCCTGGGCTCAGGTGAGGCCCTCGGCTCAGCGCTCCGAGCTCCTTGTGTTCGTAACCGCACAGACACTGGAAACACGCACGTGGCTCTGTCTCCCCAGAGGCTAGAAGCCCCCGAGATGCCGTGTCTAGCCCACCCCCGTCACAGGCCTCCAGTCCGGACCCTTCCCCCAGCGCCAGACCCAGTCACAGCCATCCCGCCTCCACCTGGAAACCTCAAAACCTCACCTGTAGCGGGCTCCTGTCTCCACACAGGTCCCTTCTCCTCCACGCAGCCGCGTTCGCCGGAGATGGCAGCACCTGGGGCGTCCTCGAGGCCTTCCTCACCCCTCCATGTCTGATCTGGCTGCGGGCATGTTGGTTTCATTCTGAACTCTGGAATCCCGCCTGTCCCCGTCACCCTGGACCCAGATGCGTGGGCGGCACTCCCAACGGGTCTCCCTGCCGCCCCTCCGCCCCCACCCCAATCCCAACTCCCCCAGCAGTGGCCAGAGCCCAACACACACTCACCCCAAGCTGCCTCAGGGCCTTTGCACCCGCTCCTTCCGCCTGGACAGCTCCCCACCCTCCCCCCTGCTCATTCTCTGGTGTCTTCATCAATATCGCCTCACCCTCCCAGTCTGGTTTGGGACCCCAGCGCCATGCTGGCACAGGCGCTGTCCTTTGATTTCACTGCCTGTCGCTCCGTGTGCAATTGTCTAGTGACTGAGCATCAGCCTCCTCCAGTAGACTGTCAGCTCCTCACCCCCGTGCCCCAGCATCCAGTATGCAGTAAGCACTTCATAAATGCGCTAAGTGAAGGCGCTAAGCAGACCCTGTGGTGGAGAACACCCGTGTCCTCTGGCCCCCAGGCCCTCCTCGCATCTAACCACCCTTTATTCTCCGTGCAGTCCACGTGCAGCCTCACTCCCGTCCCAGAGTCCAAATGTTCTCGGCCTGGAAGATACCAATGTTCCTGTCTGTTCTGGAGGACCCTGTGCCCACCGTGGCCTCCTTCAGGTGAGTCGAAGGGAATCTTGGATTTACCGTTTAGGGGTGGGGGACAGATAAGCTGGAGAACTTCCCAGACACCTCGATCCTCATGTCCTAGACAAGGAACAGGCAATGCTCAGCCCAAAGATTAAAAACAAAAACACGGCCAGGCTCGGTGGCTCAGTCTGTCATCCCGGCACTTTGGGAGGCCGAGGCGAGTGGATGGCCTGAGCCCGCGGGTTCGAGACCCATCCGGGCAACTTGGCCAGACCTCGTCTCTACAATAAATCAACAATTAGCCGGGCGTGGTGGCGCGCGCCTGTAGTTCCGGCTACTTGGAAGGCCGAGGCGGAAGGATTGCCGGAGCCCAGCGGGTCGAGGCTGCGGTGGCTGGGAGCGGCCACTGCCCTCCAGTCTGGGTGACAAAGTGAGACTCCAACTCAAAAAAAAAAAAACGACAACAGAACAAAAACTCTCAAGTGCTCAAATCCCCCTTGGCCTGTCGGGAGCAGGAGGGTGGGACAGGTGTGGGGGGACAGTTGTGGGTCTGGGAGCGGGGAGCAGGGGAAGGACACATTCCTGGTTGCCTGGTGTGAGCTCTCCCGGATGAACTTGGAGACAAAGGTAAGAGAGCTCAACCTCGTTGAAGTCAACATCCAATAGGTGAGAGACAGACGTGCCAGGTTGTCTTGAAGACAAGATATCTCCAACGTGTGGCTGACATCCGGCGGAAGACCAGAACACGCCCGAGAGAATCTTGGGGGGAGACTGATCCAGAGGGTGGGGGTCATCCTGGGGGTGGGGCAGCCCTCGCAAGACCCAGGGGGAGGGGCCGACCCAACCCACCAGTCCCGTGGCAGGGGCAGCCTTGGATGGAGAAAACCCGCTGGCCACCTCAGCCGGGCCATAGAGCACTGGCCCTCGAGTCCCCGATCCGCACTCACCAGGCGGCCCTCTGCCGGTCCCGTGGCTCCACAAAGCCAGCTTGGGGCCGGGGTCTGTCCCGCTGGCCGTCAACTGTCTTGCTGAGAAATTAACAAGCAGCATTTGGTGCTCTGCTCCGGTCTCTAGAGAGCTGATCCATGAGACACAATCGACTCCCCAAGCCCGGGGCACGGAGGAGATGGGTTTTCTGTGGCAACAGACATGGGGCAAAGGGTTTGGCCAAGGGGGGTGCAATGGGGGGAGTGTCTTATCTTCAGAAGACTCCAGGAAGGTGCCCGCCAGTGTCCAGGGTCAGGAGTTGGGAGCCATCGGTTCAGGATGTCGGGGACTCAGCTGGAAGTTGCAGAGGAGGGAGGGAAGCCTTGCCTGGGGCGAGCGGGCTCCTCTCCGCGTGGAGGCTTGAGGGTCCTCAAACATGGCAGCCGCTCCCCCAGCCCCCTCCCCCACCCCCAGGGAGCGATCTCAGAGGCCGGGGAGGAAGCCTTGGGCGTCACATCCCGGCCCACCACCCCTGGCTGGAAGCACAGCACTGAGACTAGCCCAGATGCTTTAGCGGGGCGGACCCCAGAGAAGGTGTGGACTAGGAACACCATCACGGGGGCCTTTCCAGAGCACGCCTCCTATCCGCCGCTCCCCTCCCCAATCCCCAGGGGCAACGCCTCTCTTATTCCCTGCCTCAACCTCCCCTCCCCGGCCTATCGCCTAGCGCCGCCTTCCAGAACATGCCGGCGGCTTCCTCGTGCCTGTGCCCCTGCTCAGGCCGCTCCCGGGCCTGGGCGGTTCTTCCTCCTGCTTGTCTCCCGGGGAGCGCTCCTCCCCTTCCCAGGCCCGGCTCTGCGGTCCCCTCCCCGCTCAGCCACCTGCCTCCACTGCAGTTCTGGGTCTCGTCCCTCCTCCCACCCATGGCCCTCATCACACCCGGGGCCTCAGTTGCTGTCGGGAGTCTGGTCAGGGCAGGGGACAGGCGGCATCCCCCCGCCACCCCTGCACCCAGGGTGGAGCTCAGCACAGAGCAGATGCCAGAGAAACATGGAGCGTCACAGGCTGGCTCCCCCATCTGGCTCCAGGACTCCAGCCGGCTCCTCCAGGAAGCAGAGGAAATCCCAGAGGCGATTCGCAGAAACTCTCCGTCGCGGGTGGCTAGCTCTTCCTTCACAGGCCTGACCAACCCGGAACCTCCCAGGAGGACTCTCTCTGCCGTCCCTGCCCCAACTCCCCGGACCCCAGGAAAAAGCCCAAGCAGCCCCGCCCTGTGGGTTGTGCCATCAGCTTTCATGCTTCTTCACAGCCGCCCCTGGATGTGAACTTGCAAAGCCCGGGCAGGACAAGTCAGGATGGGAGCCACACCCTTTTCCAAAGAAAGCAGAACGGAAGCTCAGAGAGGCCAAGCAATCTGCCCCCGGCCGCACAGCTAGGGTGAGGGTCACAGCCTCCCAGCCGGGCCTCCAGAATGTGAGGTCAGGCCCGCTGGGGGTGTGGGGTTATCATTTCTAGGGCTCTGTCCTTGTCTCGCCTCTGATGGAGATTTGCCGAAGGGTTGGGGTAGGTTGCCGCTTGGCCTGCTGGGAGTCTGAACGCTTCCTAAATCCTGCCTATTGGAAATCTATCTACCTACGTCTAACCGGTGCTAGGTTCAAAGTGTGTCAGGGTTCGAGAAGTCTAAGCAAAAATGGTGCTGCTGGGGCAAAAAGACCCCGCCAAACTAAGTTGATTCCAGGTCTCTGTAAGTCCCTCCTTTCAGCTAGATAGGAACCCAAGTCTGTCCCGGTCCCTTGCCTCTTTGCCGAAGGTAGTGATGACTCAGCCTCAAAAAGAACACGTCTAGAAAAGGGCCCGCCTCACCACCCGTGAGCCTCGCCTGAGAGTGGAAGAGGAGCCAGTGGGTTCAAGACGGGCTCACAGACACAGGAGCATGACCCTGCAGACGGTGGTGCCGGGAGTGGCCATCCGTTGTCCTCACAGGCTCGCAAAAACAGATCGCGACGCGTGTCGGTCGAGCCAAGCGCCGTGCCTGGGACTGTGTCCATATCCACTCAGGTCCCCGCCACCACCCCAAGAGGTAGATTTTGTTTCTCCCACTCTACAGGTGAGGTCATTGAGGTCCAGAGAGGTCAACGTCCCCAAGGTCATCCAGCTGCTGCAGGCACCAGGATGTGAACCCGGGAGGGCTGCCTGGCCTAGACCCCCCCCAGCCACCTCCCCCTCCATCATGCGCTGCTTCACGGAGGGAAGGTACCGCCACGCTGCCTGGCGAGTCCGGGGAGGCAGAGGCTGGACTGAGGAGCAGCAGTCTCCCAGCCAGGCTGGAGTCTGCCTGTCTGCCCCGACGGAGTTTTTCTCTGCTAATAAATGACTCACCCGTGACAAGGCTTTGAGAGGCTGAAAGCTGACCCGCCCCCTCGGGAAGGCCCGGAAGATAAGGAAGGGATGTGCGGTGTATCCTCCCCTCACGGAAGCTTCCAGGAGGCCCAGGGCCCAAGACTCGGGATGCCGGCCAAGAAAAGGTCCCAGTGAAGCCTCGAGGCAAAGAACACGCGGTCCAGCTGAGGCCCGAGGAGCAGAGGGGCTCTGTGAGACCCCAGGGCTCAGGCCCACGGGCGCACTAGTCCGGCCCGGAACACGGCCAGCGCTCCGCCCCGACCTCGCCGCGCCCTGGTCACCTCTGGAAGCGGCCTGCTGGACGGCCGAGCCGGCCACCCCCTCCTCCCGCACCGGCGGTCCACCCGCCCTCCCTCCCGTGACCCTGGGGTGTAACGGCCTCCTCTCCCCTCTCTTTCAGCGCCGCCATGCTCAACGCCACCTCGCCGGACGCCGAGCTGAACGGGACCCTCTCCCACAGCCAGGGCTGCCTCTCCAGCGAGTGGCTGGGCCGGCTGAACGCCATCCAGGCCCCCTTCCTCTGGGTCCTGTTCGCGCTGGCCGCCCTGGAGAACGTCTTCGTCCTGAGCGTGTTCTGCCTGCACAAGAGCCGCTGCACGGTGGCCGAGATCTACCTGGGCAACCTGGCGGCGGCGGACCTGGTCCTGGCCTGCGGGCTGCCCTTCTGGGCCGTGACCATCGCCAACAACTTCGACTGGCTCTTCGGGGAGGCGCTGTGCCGCGTGGTCAACACCGCCATCTACATGAACCTGTACAGCAGCATCTGCTTCCTGATGCTGGTGAGCATCGACCGCTACCTGGCGCTGGCGAAGACCATGTCCGTCGGCCGGCTGCGCGGCGTCCGCTGGGCCAAGCTCTACAGCCTGGTGATCTGGGCGTGCACGCTGCTGCTGAGCTCGCCCATGCTGGCCTTCCGGACCATGCGGGAGTACGGGGACGAGGGTCACAACGTCCCCGCCTGCGTCATCAGCTACCCGTCCCGCGGCTGGGCGGTGTTCACCAACGTGCTGCTCAACTCCGTGGGCTTCCTGCTGCCGCTGGCCGTGGTCACCTTCTGCACGGCGCGGATCCTGCGGGCGCTGCGCCGCAACGAGATGCAGAAGTTCAAGGAGAGCCAGACGGAGCGGCGCGCCACGGTGCTGGTGCTGGCCGTGCTGCTGCTGTTCGTGGTCTGCTGGCTGCCCTTCCAGGTCAGCACCCTCCTGGACACGCTGCTGCGCCTGGGCGTGCTGGCCGGCTGCTGGGACGAGCACGTGGTCGACGTGATCACGCAGGTGGCCTCCTTCGTGGCCTACAGCAACAGCTGCCTCAACCCGCTGGTGTACGTGATCGTGGGCCAGCGCTTCCGGAAGAAGTCGCGTGAGGTGTACTGGGGGCGGTGCCGCCGGGCGGGGGGCCGGCCCGAGCCCGCCAACGCCGAGAGCTCCGTGGGCACGCTGCGCACCTCCGTCTCCGTGGAGCGCCACATGCACAAGCTGCGGGACTGGGCGGGGAGCGGGCAGTGAGCGGCGCCGGCATGGCCTGGACACCCGGTCGGCGTCTCCGGTGACCTCAACACCCGGTCGGCGTCTTGAATGACCTTGACCACCAGTCGGCGTCCCTGGGTGACCTTGACACCCGGTCGGTGTCTCCGGCGACCCTTTCACCTAGTCAACGTCTCCCCGTGACCTTGACATCCGGTCGGCGTCCCTGGTGACCTGGACACCCCGTCAGCATCTCCGGTGACCTTGACACCCAGTAGGCATCTCGGATGACCTTGAAACCCAGTAGGCGTCTCTGGTGACTTTGATACCCAGTCAGCGTCTCGAATGACCTTGACGCCCCATTGGCGCCTCCGGTGACCCTGACACCTAGTCTACATCTCCTGGTGACCTTGACACCCGGTAGGCGTCCCTGGTGACCTGGACACCTGGTCGGCATCTCTGGTGACCTTGAAACCCAGTCGGCATCTCGAATGACCTTGAAACCCAGTGGGTGTCTCTGGTGACTTTGACACCCAGTTGGCGTCTCCAATGACCCTGACAACCAGTCAGCGTCTCCGGGTGACCTTGACACCCGGTCGGCATCTTGGATGATCTTGAAACCCAGTAGGTGTCTCCGGTGACCCTGACACCTAGTCGACGTCTCCTGGTGACCTTGACACCCGGTTGGCATCTCAAATGACCTTGAAACCCAGTAGGCGTCTCTGGTGACCTTGACAGCCAGTCGGCGTCTCCAATGACCTTGACAACCAGTCCGCGTCTCCGGTGACCTTGACACTCGGTGGGCATCTCAGATGACCTTGAAACCCAGTCGGCGTCTCCGGTGACCTTGACACCCGGTGGCTGTCCCTGGTGACTTTGACGCCCAGTTGGCATCTCCAGTGACCTTGACAACCAGTCAGCGTCTTTGGTGATATACAGGAGAGTCCTCCCTGCTTCGCACACAGCCAAGGGTTCCGTAAACACGACAGTATTTTTGTTCTCATCTGTTGCCAGACCTGGGCCGGCCTGCTCCCTCCCGCCTGGGGAGGGGACCCGGGGGCAGGGACAGGAGTGACTGAGCTTCCCTCCTGCCCCGGCCGCTCAGATCTCCAGGAGAATGGCCGCCTGGCTTGGGCACCGTGGCCCAGCGCATCTGCAGCTGGGCTGAATTGTTGACCCGGTTGATTCACCCACTCAGCTAGGACTTGAGAGGACGATTCCTTGGATTAATGAAGGCTAAACTCTGAACGATCCCCGGCAAGAACCCAGAGGTCAGGGCTCTGACTCACTCACCAATGCACAGGGGGTCTGTGCAAAAGAAGAACCTGAAAAGCACTTATCGAGCACTAGCTGTATCTGCAGCATTGAGGGCTGTAAGCACGAGGGAAGACAGAGACGGTGCCGTCTCTATCTTGCACGAACTTGAAAACTCGAGTGGACGACCGTGCACTTGCCACCGCCATAAGGCGGTTCTCAGCCTGGCGGAGCAGAGCCGTGTGGCGGTACAGACGGCAGAGGGGGCGGAGCCCAAGGTCCAGCTCACAACCTTGTCCCTGCCTCAGTTTCTTCTTCTGTAACACGAAGCTGTTCTGAGGATTTAAAAAGGTCACGGGCATCGAGGACTTTGAAAAGCAGAGGGTGCTGTGTCCACGTAAGACCCGGTGCTGCACACCGAGTTTGCCATAAGGAAAAGACACAGGTTTAGGAATAACTCCGTGAAGGAGCGTCCGCCAGTGTCTGGCACACAGTAGGCGCTCTGTAGCAAGCACTCCCCTCCACCTGTCCTTCCTGCACCCCCCAAGCACGCGTGTGCGTGTGCTCAGGAGAAAGAACTCCCCAAGTCAACCCAGGTAGTCAGCACCCGGCCGCATCCATTCCCTCAACAAGTGTGTTTAGTAGTTGGCTGGCTCTCTCCGGAGAGGCTGGAATTGGAGGGCGAGGAGGACTTGGATGCCAAGAGCCCGTACAGCCTGACCCATCCAACTCTAAATTTGAAAATGGATTTTTAAAAGATTCTTGGTGGGGTGCAGTGGCTCTCACCTGTCATCCCAGCACTTTGGGAGGACCACTTGAGCCCAAGAGTTCGAGACCAGCCTGGGCAACATAGCAAGACTTCATCTCTTAAAAAGTCAAAAACTTAGCCAGGCAGGGTGACGTGCAGTAGTCCCAGCTACTCCAAGAGGCTGACACAGGAAGATCACTTGCACCCGAGTTTTCAAGGCTGTGGTGAGCTGAAAGCTGCACTCCCCTGGGCTACAGATGAGACCCTGACTCAAAAAAAAATTCCCGCCCCAGGCACCCCCTACGCCCCCCCTCCCCTCTACCCCAATAAACGTGCACACTTGTAGCAAGAGAAAAAAACAACAGGTGAAATAAGTAAAAACCATTTAGCATTAGGATGAAGCCAACTACACCTGTGCATGGAAACCAAGGCAGCTGTGAGGGGCGGGTTCATTGGCAGAGCGTGTGCCTGAGGGTCCCCAGGAGGTCCCCAGGTCATTTAGGGGTCTGAGGGACTGCTGGGTGCCCTGTGCCTCGTGTCCATACCCTGACAAAGGACACCTGTCCTGTGGGAGACCCAGGAGCTGTTACATTGTAGAGGAAGCACTTTGCATGCGAACGAGAGAATGGTCGGTTGTGTAGACACGAATCGTTTCTGCGCCACGTCATGAACGGATGAAGCGTTTCTTTTGAAACTCTGTCATGTGTCTTGACTCCCGAGACCCCTGGGACACTGCCCGGGGCACTCGGAAGCCTTTGGGGAGGGCGCCCGTTGGCTTCTGGCCTGCAGATCAGGGGGCTCTCAGCATCTGTGATGGCGTATTCCTGTAGAAAAAGACACGGATGTATGCATGACCCGTCTGTATGCTTAGGAATATGTATGAAAATGTACATTCTCAAATAGAATCAACAAGCAGACGTTTCAGAAAGAGGGTGCAAAGGAAATTAATGATTTGACGGTGTCCCCTCACCCTACATTTCTCCACGGGGGACTCCTGACCAAGCTCCCATCGGGTGCCGGGTGTCAGCACACTGCTGGCCTCTGGGTACCGCTGGGACACGGTTGGCCTTGAACCTGTGCTTGTGGCGACGATGATGGGGTGAGAATGGTGAGGGCCATGAAGGCGTCCTCCAAACGGAAACCTGTCACCAGTGCCCTGCATCCTTGGTATAAGACCCCACAAGGGCCTAGAATATAGGAGTGGCAGGGGGGACTCATTCATTCATTCAT